ATTATGCCCTTTGCTGACGAATGAGCCTGGCACGCATTGTTATGAATGCTTATTGGCCTGCCAAAGGCACCAGGGCAAAGTATGCAGCACAGACATCATTGTGATACATTACTTGCCTGTAACCCCTGATCACTGCTGCAGCGGCATCCTTGCATGGCGTTGAAACTCCAGGCATACCGTACATCTGAGCACTGGTGCACGTGTCATAAGAGGCCATCACAATTTGCATGCCATGCAACCTCACCCAGTGTTGACGCGTGACCAGCCATCCATAGCACATGCTTAGCTGCTCTGTGCGTTTCACACTCTTGTCCCATTGTGATGCCAACGGCAAGGAGCGCGAGCTGCTGGCACCTGGCACCTGGCTGCAAGCCCGCAATTGCCAACGCTGCAATGATGCATGGAACCTGCCAGGCCAAGAAAGCCGCCCCCCCTCCTACCGGTTGCAATTCACCTTCCGCACAATCCAAATATGTTTCACACACCCAAGCATCTCGTCGAACCAAGGATCCACAGTATCATGATACAATAGTTCAGTTTCAGGCAAGAGCACCAGAGCGCAAACGAACAGTGTAAGTGCACATTACAGACATCACAAATGGCGTGGTCCGTTCTTAAGGCGGCCGTCAAGAGTAAAAAGGGCTCCAGGTGCGCGGTCAGCAGGACATCGCAAAAACAGCACCCAGGCCACTCGGCCTGAGGAACGAGCCTGAGCGCGTGGAATTGATGACAATGCGTTTATGAAACAACTTGTGAAATACCGCAGGGAGACTGTGGATCAAGACCGCCGCACCAGCGTGGCGGCGCAGCCGAGCAGCACGAGCATGCTTGGGACAGCCATCAGCAGCACCAGCAGCACCAAACGGTGATGCCCTGCCCGTTATGCTGCGCACTCATGTGTGCATTGATGCCCTCAGCCTGCCGAGCCCGTCGCTGCAGTTTCCAGTTCGCTGCGTCGACACGCGACGCCTGCACGTTTGTGTTCACGGCCGGGCTACCTCGGTTGACAACGCGCACACGCAGGAAGCCCGCTGACCAAGACGGTTGCACCGGTGCTCTCAAATGTGCACTGAGCAGTGAGCGGAACAAATGCACCAGCAGGCGTGCAAGCGTCTGCACAACGGCCACCGCCAGCGGCAGGTGAGGCACAACACTGTGGCTACCACTTTGTGACAATAGCAAGGGTTGCAGGCGTTGCATCCTGCGCCACATGGTTACAGTGACTTGGCATGTTTGATGCAGCAATGCATCTGCTTGTCGTCAGCTCAGTGTTGTGGACTTCTCCCGTGCAGCGCAGACCAGCACGCACTAGGGGCTCCCTTGCATGATGCTCTGAGCGGCATGGATTGCAACCACCCGATTTCCCAGTTACACAGCAAGTGATGCTTCACAGTCGAATTCCGCGAGCCTGGACGACTCTAGAAACGGGCAAATGCGTGACGCTGTATCACTTTACATGCTCATCCCCGTCCGTGCCGCCATCTCCTACCCCAGGTCAACCCAGTGCAGCAGCGTCACAACAACGTCGTGCGAGACCTCAGCCGCTTTGAAGCTACACCGCACCAGCCCCAGCGCTTACAGTCTAGCCACCAACCAGACGCAGAAGGCGACAACTGAGTTGTGTGCAACAGCCGTCTCGAACAGCACCACCAGCAGGAGTTGCAGTCGGCACAGCAGCGAGTGGGGCAGCGGCGTCGAGGACAGATCACCTGCTCGATCGCCGGCGGTGCAGACCCCAAGCGGCGCCTCTACCCCTGACTCGACCACGCCGCCACCGGCGCTACCAAAGTCACCAACTTCTGAGCCAAACCACGCGCGAGTGACGACGCGCTTTTGCATGATGGGCGCTGCGCGGCTCTTTGACGAGGGCACCCCCCTGGGCAGCGGCGGCGAGGGCGAGGTGCGGCGAGTCGAGCTACTGGGCCACCACTACGCTCTGAAGCGCGAGCTGGGTGGTCTCGTATCAAACGAGGCTTATGCAGACGCCATCAGCGGCCCTTGGGTGCAGAAGTGCATCACCTGCGGCTTTGGCATGAACCCTGAAGCGCGCTACACGCTTTACGAGCTGGCGCCCGGCAGCCTGACAGACGCACTGAAGGGGCACGCCTTGGCCGCCGCCGCCGCCGCCGCTGACAAGGAGGTTGGTGTCAGCGGCCCGCAGGCCGTGGCGGGCAGCCCGTCAGCCAAGCCATCCCATCGTGCGGCGTCGCCGAATGCCAAGTCCAAGGTGCCCCAGGCGGCCCAGGCTAAGGCCGCGCCGCTTAAGCGGCTGTTCAACGCCGTCTTCAGGCGCGGCAAGAAGGATTTTGAGGCGCCCCCGTCGTCGCCGCCGCCGCCGCCGCCGCAGCAGCAGCAGGAACAGCAGGCGGCCACGCCCTACCTGCCCATCCCCGCCGCCAAGGCCCTCGCCGCAGAGCTCATCATCGCCGTCGGCACCGTCCACGCCGCCGGCATCGTGCACCGCGACATCAAGCCCGACAACCTGCTGGTGGCGGCGGACGGCCACCTGAGGCTCTGCGACTTTGGCTGCGCCGCGCCGGCCTCGGAGCCCGCGCTGGGCGAGAGCGGCACGCAGTTCTTCATGGCGCCAGAGCACTTTGTCGACTTTGACAGCTTCTGGGGCAAAGTC